TATTACATTTCTGACTGTATATCCCTGTAATTATTACACACTGTAGCTTTAAATGAATGACTGTCTGAAACCATAGCTCACTACACATATATGCCTAAAAGTGTGCATGCGCAGAAACAGATAGCTAATGGGACGAGCACGTAGGATGGCCTTATGTAAACATATCACCAGAATGATTGACAATTAGGAGGAACACTTATTTAGATGATCCACCCGGATATAAAAGATCATCCTCTATACCGTTAAGAAGACATTTCTAAAGTCTTAAAAAGAAGTTTACAAAAGAGAACATCCCATAAAATCCGTTATCACTAGAAAACAGCTGTTTGACAATTACCAGCTGACCAGGGCTTAATAAGAAACCACACAGTGAATATTTCCTGTTTCTGTGGTAAAAAACTAGTAGTCCCCTTATAAGGCATAGATTTGTTCCTCAGTAAATCCTGGTTAAGAAGGCTGGCCTCTGTGTTCCTCAGTAGGTTCTAGTTAACTAGCAGTATGATAAGTTTTCAATGCCTTCCTTGGTAGATAATTAAATTCTGTTGTAAAATATCACCAAGCATCACCACTAACAGATGATCAAAATTCATTCTACTGAGCTTGAGTTATGTAAAATTTCTTTAGCCTTTTGGATAAAGCTGATTGATGAGGAAATCCATTTCCGCAACGCTGACGTAAAATATTTAAACAACTACCTATCTATCTCATAATAATGCCTTAGCTATCTCATGAGGTACTATATTTCTCAACAAGACATCTGCAGCTGTGGCTGTTGCAGTAATCAATGCGACTAAAGGTCAAAGCATGGAATAGTTTCTCCAGATCAGAGGCCACGGATTAGCGGACCACGTTCCCGATCCGGGAAAATGGCTTTGCTGCTAATCAAACCCAGGTTTAAAGCCTTGTAGGGCAGAAAGAAGAAAGAAAAAAATAAACAGTCAGTTCAGGTGTTTTATAAGATACGAGAATCAGGAAATTGTCTATATACCAAACTGAACAATTGTTGTTCTCTACTTACTTCTACTTAAAAAAAAACACATTAGATTTTAAAATGGAAAAAATTTTCTTTTTTATTTATTTATTTATATGTTTTTATTTAAAAAGTCGATTATAACATGGATGCATAAACACCTAATTTTATGTCACTGTTAAGTTCTCTTTAAAGTAACAGATTATAATTTTAAAAAGTCTCCGGACAGTTACTAGTTGTTGATTTTCTTTATTCGGACCCAGCTGATTTTTAATTGGTTACTCCTGATCTAGATGTTGTTGATGTCATTGATCCTGCAAATGTTCCTCAGGAAATGGAAGGAGAACTTTCAAATAAAGTTATTTTGTTTCTTTTGTTTTCTATTTAAAAAGCCAATGTCTAAAGTCATAAGGTTGTGAATTTACAAGAATGATTAAATCAGGGTGTGGGTAAGGAGGCAAGATCAAACGTTTTAACTTGAAGGGGGAGATATTAGTACAATACAGAGAAAGCATGTTACAAATTAAAGTAGTGGCTCTTAATACCCCCTAAAAGATGGATCTACATAGCATTAAATATAAATGCAATGAAGAGTTTTCAGATATTTATTTTGTGAAAAAATGAAACTTGACTTCTTGTTGACTCATCAAATGAAATCCCTGTAAAATATATCAAATTCACTGCTGTAAGGAGACTAATGTATAAAGGTTGACTGGGGATGAACATTAGATGCTTGTAATAGGACAGTCTGACTGTGATGTATTTATGATACGATGATTGATATTGAGATGCAAGGTGGACACATGCAAAATTGAATTTTATTGGCTGTAAGCTACATTTTTTTCCATGTAACCAAAGCGTTGCTTGATTGCTGAAATTAAACAGTCGCACTTGTATCCCTCCGCTTAATTAAGTAGAGCCGCAGCACCACCGGTTTCTCCCTCCGTCACCTAACCGCAGCACCTAGTCCTGTTCAGGCGGGAGCAGCAACCCTGTGTTTTCCTCCAGGTCCAGCTGTGTGCGTTTCAGCCACAAAGTGTCACGGTGATGAGATCAGCTGCTGAACGCGCTCTCTCTTCCTAATGTAACAGTTTAACTCATCTGCTTGAAGCAGCGGCTGCAGCAATGGTAGCCTTCAGTCTAATTATGAGGATTTTGCAGTACGCGGGGCTTTACCTTCAACTTAATGCTGGTCTGCGTGATGGAGACAATCACATCTCTGGAAATGGTAAATTCTCCCTTGACTCGTGTCCTGCATAATTGTTTTTATGTGTTATTAATGTTTTTATTTTACTTAAACGGATAAAGTGTTGGGCAAATGCTTAAACAAAGCAGTTGGATATCACATTATAGTTATCCAAAAGTTAATTAAGGAGTAACTTACTGTACTAATTACTCTTTTCATACTTTTCCTAGTTACTTAACTCAGCTATTGCATATCCAATCAATGAGAAAAAAATAGCTGCAGATTTGTAAAAGCTTAAAACTGTTTAGCTTCAGACATCAATTGAATAAGCTGCGTGTTTTATGGACATATTAGCAATAATTAGATTTGCAAGCAGTCCATATGCAGGTAAAAAAAAAAA